CCCCACTTAATCTCGTCGCGACCCTCGACGATCTGAGCTCAAAATCGGAGCCGAGGATTTGGAGTTTGCCGCCTAGTCCGCCGCTAAACCCATGTGTGGTTGAGTAGCCTAAGGGTTTACTTGCTAAAGCAGTTGCAAAATAAAATAACCGCCTAGAATTTGTTTTTTTTTTTAATTTAATTTTATATTTTTGTAGTGAACTATGTAGAAGTTGATAACCAAAAATAGAGATGGCTTTTTTTTTTTGGTCAATAAATAGAGATGACTAGAAGGGTAATTGTTAGTATGAAATTTTCATTGTATCTTTGTTTATGACTTAATTTGAAATTACTCTAATTTATAAATGATATAAAAAAATAGTTGTGATGTGACGAACATTATGTTTTAATCAACTAGTCTAATTCATGTCTGCATTATTATTCATATTTTTTAGCATCATCTTCGTATATATAAATAAATATATATATATATAGAGGTGGCGTGGTTTTCGGTTTTGTTTAAGATGCAAAATAAGTTTAGAGGTCCACGTAACAACGAGAGAAATGTAATGCTAGCTCTTTAGCCTCGTTGCCGCCCTCATCCTCCTCTCCGCCGCCTCTGCCGACATCTTCTACCTCGTGATCCACCATGAGTCCCCCAACTACTCAATCCATAACATTGCATAGGATTCAACTTGACTACGTCGTCTCCTTCCTCCGCCATCTTGCCAGAGATTCAGGTCACTATTCAAGCCCAAAACCCCAACGAAGATCGGAATCTACTACGGGAAAAAAAGCTCTGTCAAGCTCTTCAACTTAACTTTTTCAGTTTTGGATTAGTTTAGAGAAGTTGCATACCAAATAAGGTTTTGAATTTTAAAATTTTAAATCAAAACATGTGCTTTTAGAAAAAAATCAAAATTTTGAATTTGGTTCTCAACTTTGATACCAAACGAACTCTCACAATCTAAGACAAAAATATGCAAATTGTATAATAATATCTTTTGCTAATGCTTTGTGCAATGCATGATGTATAACACACAGTTGTCATATGATTATAAAAGAGTCCAACATCTCTCATGTTACCTAGGAATAAAAAAGGTGAGAAATCAATAGTTAAAATCATTAACAAGAGTGCCCATCAAAGTAAATCTTCATTGGGAGAAGAATAATGCATGACACACATATACACATACACTCATAGACCCATAGAACACAGTGGTGGGTCCAAGCCATGAAGTAATAATTGAGCCTTTAAAATGTGTTGCCCATATACCATGAGGATGCATTTCTAACAGTGAAATAGTTGATGCCATTATGTCAAGGCCTCAAGCATCTCTCTTCTTCTTCCTTTTTTATTAGGGAACTTTTTTTAAAGCTCCCAGTATTATTCATTTTAACGAAAAACTGCATTTTTATACTAAAAAGTCAATCATGATACTATTCACTTTACCCTTTATTTTGTCTTTATCATTAAAACTCAAAGTTTTCAAACTCTTTTCATTAGTTTTCCTTTTTATTATTATATTTTAAGAAAAACTAACGAAAAGTTTAAAAAAACTTTCTTTTTAATGAAAAGTCATTTTAAAAGTATAGTGAATTGTACTAGAAAAATGTATAAATGTGGTTTTTCGTTAAAAATGAACAGTACCGATAATGTTTTGTTAAAATTTCCTATATTTTAATCATTACTACAAGGATGTTTGAACTTAAATCTACCTTTACCCTAGCTCCACTGATGCTCTTATATGCATCAAATCTTAGCCGCCCACTGGTGAAAATAATATGAAAAAAAAAAAGAATTTTAGCCACTTACTCATGAAAAATAATGTGAAAAAGAGGATTCTAAGTCACCATTTCGTGCTATTAAGAAAAGTATTTTGCTAATTGTTAGGTTGAATATTACAGAGTGAAATGATGATCACATAATTTTTTCTTCTCTTCGGCTCCTACACATTTTTCTTTATTTTTAGCCATCATATTAGATAAATCAAATGAAAATAACAAACATGATTAAATATGGATATGTAGAGAAAAATAAAATACGTATAGTTATTATTCCTCAATCACAAAAAAACATGAAATAAAGAGAAGCATGAGCCGATTTTTGATACATGTAAATTACGCATAAAATATGTCCAAAGTTGTTAATATTCCACAAACGAGCACACTTTTTGTTGATACAATTGCTATTAAAGGAGGGACCAATTGAAACATGATCTTACATGTGTCGATAGATGTTTTTGATCACTTAAATTATTGACATAGATTTTAGAAACAAACAAAGCCAAAGAAGAAAAATACAAACTAAGGTGAAAAGAAGGTAAAAATAAAATGGACAAGGTCAATGCCTAAAAAATATCATACGTCGTCCACTTCCGAAGATAAAACCTATGATATCTACTTGTTTACTCAAAATACATACTAGTACAATGTAAGGCCAAAAAAGTGGAGGAAAAGAGTTGTACAATATGGAAGAGTTTGATGACATTTTTTGGGTAGGGTAGCGCTTTTCGCACACTTTTTATTTTTATTTTTTACACATTACTTTTAATTTTTGTCTATTGATCTTCTTCAATTCATTTGATTAGAATGTTGGAAATTGAGAGAAATATGTGAGAGATAAAAATGGGTCTATGGATAGCACCACCCTGGTATAGACCCTTTTTTTGGGTAGTGCTATAAACATATCTATTTTTACTTCGTACACACTCATCTTTTCTCGATAAAAAAATTGACAAATACGTGTGAGAGATAAAAATAAGAGATAAAAATAAGTGTGAATAACACTATACTTTTTTTTAGGTTAATAGACCGAATTAATACTTAAAGCAAAATAAAATAGCTTCTAATGATGGTCAACCTAATCATGTTTTTAATTTTTTTTATTACACTAAAACAGTGGTTTTTGTTTTAATCAAATTATTCCATTATATTGCATTGGACGGGTAGGGTATGCCGGCAAACATTTTCATGTAGATGTCCACATCATTAAAATACACCCTTAATTTAATTAAGAATCTTTACACAAATGGTGTACCCATTAACGCTTTCCCCCATTTACTTGCCCCTTTTATTCTAAAATACTAGACTTGCACAATTTTTTATTTATTTTTCATATTTTCTATCACCAAATTACGTGGACGGTAAAATAAAACAATTTGGAACTTAAATTTCAAAATTTGTTTTGTTGTTGTCATATTTTTTCGAAGAGACAAAAAAAGGACACTACTTGGCTGCTGAAATTTCAGCAACAACTCTTGCTGTACTCGATTATATTTGGACAAGTGTCCTATATGTGTCTACAATTTTAATTATTTGAACACGTGTACTTTCAGCAACCAAGTAGTGTCCACAAAGGAAAGAGCAAAAAATGGAAAAAAGAGACTGGGAAGTTTTAGTGGAAGCCTGTCCTCTGTCTCACAAAATATATATAGAGAGTTGTGTTGTCCACACACACCTCTCTTGAATTGATCGAATTGAAAATGATTAAATAACAAATATTAATAAAGAAAGTGAAGGAAGTAAAAAAATATGCGTAAATAAAACTACGTGTGTATGTATATAAATAAATATATTATATCTCGTAAGTCCGTACATCTGCATTGCAGCAGTGAGCAGATACACACCTTTAAACACTGAAGGGTGCAGTCACTTTCAACTCTTACAAAAAGTAAGAGAGTCCACAGAAAAGAAAAAGTAAGGGAAATTTAATAAATTAAATAACTTTAAGTAGTGTAACTTAATATTACGATTTAATAATATTTTTTTATATTTGTAAGGGTAGTGAGGTTTTATATTTGAATATCGCTAAAGATATATTTAAATTATATTATTATTAACTTATTGTAAGATTAAGCTCGTTGTAAAAAAAACATAAAAAAAATAGTGAATATTGGAAAACCTGTGTTTATTATTATGGTATTTTTGTATTTTTGTTAATGTTGGGTTTTTCTAGAGCTTCCCCCACTAGATGATGAGATAATGATGTCCCCAAACCTCAAATCAGAATGCTGGACGCCAACCTGAACAGTGAGAATAAGGAATAGACTGTGGGTCTCTACTTGTCTTATTTTCGAGTAGTGTAATATGTCGAATTCGAAATTTGGCTACACATTGTAGATATTTTAACGAGTTTTGAGTTATATAACGTGTTTGAAATCGCCAAACACTGCAAGTTTTGAGTCATTTAATTCATTATGTAGTTAAGTTAGAATTCTATAAATATTTGTGCTTGTTTCGAGTCATATACTATGTCGTGTCTAAAACCGCCACCCAGTATGTGGGGTTTAGAAAAGAGAAAAGAAGCCATATTTTTCTCACTCTGATAATTGGTTCCAGTTGGAATTCTAGAGAAACCAACACCGGTCCAATCAAAATTTCCTTTATTTTGGGTGAAGGGTTTTTTTTTGTGTGTGAGAAAAATTGCCAATAGGTCTCACGCGTGCTTTCTCAAATGAAAAACACTCACATTCTGAATGCTTATTTTAGCATGTGGTGTTACGAATTTGATCTTCTAAAGAGACATCTGAGTCAATTTAATGACATTATAACGACATTGCAACAACAACAATCTGATGTCATAACGGTAATAATTTAACGGTATAATGACACGGTAATAACATCAACAAAATCGAGTAACGTGCAACCCAAGATGGTCTCTTTGGACTATTGGGGCGTCGTTATAGTGTCGTTGTGGCCTCAAATATAATTGTTGAAGGATCGTTACGACGCCATTAAATTAAAAGAAAAACTAATGAAAATGTTTGAAAACTTTGAGTTTTAACGATAATGATAAAATTAATGGTAAAATAAATAGTACCAATACTGACTTTTTAGTGTAAAAATATGATTTTTTTTATTAAAATAAACAGTACCGAAAACTTTTGGTTACAATTCTCTAAATTAAATCGGATGGCTCTAGACTAGATATTCAAAGGGTAATATAGTAAAATTAAAAAAAATAGTATGTTTGATTGAATTTAAAAAAGTGAGTGCCTTTACCAATTTTTGCAAATAGAAAATGCATCACTCTTGATGCTCCTTTTTGGGTTCGCAGAATGTGAGTGGTAGAAACTAAAAAGAGCCCTTATACACAAAAAGGCTAATTGTTTCCTCTTATCTCCTTAATGATTTCTTCACAGGTTGCCCAAATAATAACAGTGCTTTGGCTCATCAACTTGTTGGTTTGCATGATTGGTAGCCCCCCTTTTAGAGAAAAAAAGTAGTAAATTTGATGGGTTTTTCATGCTTCCCAGATGTAAAGATTTGAACTTGAAAGTGAAAAAGCAGTGGAATTTGGAGCTGGGTTCCTGAAGGCTGTAGTGGGTTCCATGAAATTTCACATCTTTTTTCAGGTTTTTTCAGTAAAGCATTGTTCTTGATGTGTTTCCTGAACTAGGTTTGCTGAAGATTTTGCTGGGTTTTCAGCATTTGGTGGTCAGATTTTGATGATTAGTTGTGCTGAAGCTTTCAGAAATCTCTGTGGAGTTGCATTAGCATGTATCTGAATTGTAGGGTATCCTCTGGTTTTAATGGCAGATTGCCCTTCAATCTTGACTTGAACAAGGCAATGGAGACTTTGCATGGGACTAGCTGTACCAGAAGATGGAGAGGAAAGGTCCTAATTCTGGGGCTTCTGGGTTTTGTTACAATCATTTGGGGTTTCTTTAGTTTCAATGATGGAGGTTTGGGGATGAGAGAGAAGGCTCCAGATATGGGTGGAGAGAAAGCTTGGATCCTGCAGCAGCATTTCAATGTCAGCAAATCCCAACTTCTCGCGTTCGCTTCGTTGTTCTCCGAATCAGATCAGGTGATGTGCTCATGGCTCTTCTTAAACTTGCATCTATAAGCACTTGCTTTTGCTTTTCTCCTTTAGTTTGTTTGGTTTTGCAGCTTCTAATGGTTGGTAAAGTGCTTTTCTTTAGAAATTTCTTGTTTTGGTTATGAATTGGACTGGACAGACCGCTTTGAATTCAAGCGAAGCGAAAACATGTTAACTGAATTCAAGAAATTGTTTTCTCTTTTGGTTTTTGGATATCCAGAAGTTGGATTAAAATCAATTTTGTTATCTTTTGTGTATTTGTTCTAGCTTAATCGATTAATCCCTTTAATAAAAGTAGTTTCGAGCCGTATCCATATACTTAGTATTCTTCCTGTTCCGAATTCAGATTTACAATGGATTACTGGTTTTTCGATAACTGTCAGCTGACATAATTTGATGAATCTATTGTAGTTCAATACTCCACATATGTAGGATATATAGTCCGCCCAAAAAAATTGTGTATCAACTATCCGTTGTAGCGTTATTTTATGATGCTTTAGCTCTACTTTTCTAGCAAACCATAGTAATTGAACAGTGAACTTTTGATCGATTGATTTCGCCACTTATTTTTCCAGTCAAATGATAAGTTATCACTTTAAGCAATCATATGCAAGATGCTTGAGACCGTCTCTGTGTATTAAGAGGGGAAAACCGCATAGTTACGAGAAAAAGCTTTTACATGCCCCCATTTTTCTACTTCTTCTCACTAGTCTCCATGTGTTACAGATAGCATCCCTTGAATGTACCAAAGAACCAGGACCAGGTATGATGTTAGGTAATGTCATTTCCTGTTATCTTAAGGTGCTATGTTCAGATGAGGAGTTTCAGAAGCGACATAAATGGGCAGCAGAAAATGAAGAAGCCAAGGACCAATGCCTGGTTCAAGATGAGAACATCCGCAGGAAGTGTGATGTATCATTGCTGGAGGACACATCCCCATCATGCACTGTGCAATCTACAGTTTCAGCTAATAGGATTTGTGAAAAGGTATAACTTTGATGCTTAGACTGAACTATGGATGTGTCAAATTGTCAATGTTACAATTTAGGTTCCATTATTACCATAGATGTTATAGCTACCGAGTAATTTACGTGAGTCAAGTCAACCCCTTTCCGTACGTATTAAAGGGGGAAACAGAAAATGTTAGCAAGGTGTTCAACTCTGGAAAAGCTCAAAAACTGAATATGTATGAAGAGTTGAATGATCAAATGAAGACATATTCTTTGACAGATTTCCTGTAGGATTCACATTTGGTTTTGTCTTTTCTTATTTGAGTTGGTGCTATGATGCCATGCCAGGACCATGTATCTGATATGCACACTAAAATCCTAATTTGTGTGTTTCGGTGTGTGAAGATGTAATTGGGATGGCTTTTCTGTGCGAAAACTCTAACTATTTAATTTAAATAGTTTGTATCCATGTTACTAGTCTGGAAAAAACAAATGCAAACCAAAACTCATCGGAGAGGGTTCAAAATAACTAAGTGTTTTGTTTGTTTTTTTCTCTGATTATAACAATTTGGGTTCGGTGGCACAGGAGGAGTGTGCAAAAGAGAACTCTCGGATGCTTTGTACTTTGGTAATACAATGTTGGTGGGCATTTGTTGGAATGATCATGTGTTACAAACTGTCTGGTTTTTCTATGAAATTGTGGAGGAATAAAAAACAGAAGTTGGTTCAAAAGGTTGAAGAGCAGCCATTGCGTCGGAGGAAGCAGCCAGAGAAACAGCAACAGCAACCCCCAAAGCCTCCTAAGGTTGCTGGCACTTGGAGGAAGAATCTACTTTTAGTATTTATCGTATTTGGTTTCATTACATCATTGTGGTTATGGTGGCACTTGTGTGCAAGAGATCATTTGTGGAGGGAAGAAACACTTGCCAACATGTGCGATGAACGAGCCCGGATGTTGCAGGATCAGTTTAATGTGAGCCTGAATCATGTTCATGCTTTAGCTATTCTGGTCTCCACCTTTCACCATGGGAAACAACCTACGGCAATTGATCAGGTAATTTTCATATCTACCTTTAGGTAAGTCATTTGTCCGCCTAGATAAGCCAACTTAGTAGGCGCTTTGAGCATGTAATTCAAGGATTTTATAATTTATATTATACTGAAAAGTAAGGAAAGGAAAAACTAATCAGTAACTTTACCCTTGTGCAACTCTATTGGGTTATGAAGTGGTTTAACCTTGTACATTTCTTTCTTTCCACAGAAAACATTTGGTGAATATACAGAGCGAACAGCTTTTGAGAGACCCCTTACGAGTGGTGTTGCTTATGCTTTGAAAGTTACTCATGCCGAGAGGGAACAATTTGAGAAGGAACATGGATGGACAATAAAAAAAATGGAAACTGAGGACCAGACTCTAGTCCAAGATTTTATTACAGAAAGCTTGGCCCCTGCGCCTGTTCAAGATGAATATGCACCCGTGATATTTTCTCAAGAAACTGTCTCCCACATTGTCTCTATTGACATGATGTCCGGAAAGGTTCGTCCTTATTTTAGCTTTGGCTTAAGAAATATGCTTTCCCTCTCTCCCTTCTCTTCTTGCTGCTTTTGTTAATTTTTTGTTTATGAGCCACTTTATCTATACCAATGCCTCAGACTAAACCATTACTACCTTCACCTCCCTTCTTGTTGTTTTCGTGTCAAATTAAACCTGTACAAGAAGGGAGAGATATTACGTTGATAATTTCAATGTCACCGGACCACACTTCTCCCCACACAATTCAAAACTTTATCAACCGCTTAAAAAGTTTACTTCTACAAGTCATACTCGCAAAGGCATATTCGATATCCAGTAACCATTCTCATAATGCTAATGTGAAATACTGCTAATTATATAGGAAGACCGTGAGAACATCTTGCGAGCAAGGGCAACTGGAAAGGGAGTATTGACCTCCCCGTTTAAGCTATTGAAATCCAATCACCTGGGAGTTGTACTCACATTCGCCGTCTATAATGCTGATTTGCCTCCACATTCCACACCAGAGCAACGAATTCAAGCTACTGTGGGGTAATTTTGTAACCATGGAATTTTCTGGATTTCTAGTACATGGCTGTGACTTGTGCTTTCTGAATTATTTTGCATTTAATATCTACAGGCTGAAATTCTTGTACTGGTGCTTTCATAAATAGGTATCTAGGTGCATCATATGATGTACCGTCACTGGTGGAGAAGCTCCTGCACCAACTTGCCAGCAAGCAAACAATTGTTGTGAATGTTTATGATACAACTAATTCATCTGCTCCGATCAACATGTATGGTACTGATGTTATTGATACTGGCCTGTTGCAAATTAGCAACCTGGATTTTGGGGATCCACAACGCAAACATGAAATGCACTGCAGGTTAGATTTCATACAACATTAATTATATATATATATATATATCAGCCCAAATATGCGGAATTACTCTTCTTTTTCTTTTCCTCCAATCCAATACAGTACTCTTTCGGTTGCAGGTTTAAGCACAAACCTCCGTTTCCTTTGACAGCAGCAAGTGCATCCATAGGAGTCCTAGTCATTACCTTCCTAGTTAGTCATATTTTTCATGCGGCCATAAGCCGAATAGCAAAAGTGGAGGCAGACTATCGTGAGATGATGGAACTCAAAGTTCGTGCAGAAGCTGCAGATGTGGCCAAATCTCAGGTATATTTTGTTCATTAGCTATAAGAGTTTCCTATCACTGGAAGGTTCTCTCATGAAATTTAGTCTCTGACCCGTCTGAAATGAAAAAATAAACCCAATTGTTTACTTATTTGTCTATACTGTATTACATGATGTTTCTTGATCAACCCGTGGCTGAACATCTCTCTTTTGCAGTTCCTTGCAACTGTTTCCCATGAGATCAGGACACCAATGAATGGTGTTTTAGGTAACTTAAATGTTCTTTAGTGCATCATTCGGTATCGCACAAAACTTTCAAGGTTACATAATCTGATGATATTTTAATCAAAATCCAGGCATGCTGCAAATGCTGATGGACACCGATCTAGGTCCAAACCAACAGGACTACGCGGAGACTGCTCATGCCAGCGGGAGAGAACTGATATCGCTGATAAATGAGGTTCTTGATCAGGCCAAAATCGAATCAGGCAGGCTGGAACTTGAAACTGTTCCTTTTGATCTGCGTTCAGTGCTTGATAATGTTCTATCACTTAACTCAGGAAAATCCAACGAGAAAGGGATCGAGGTAAAAACAAAATCTAACCTTTGTATTTGATGTATTTTTCTGTAGTTGTTACTTATATCAGTTCTTGTGGTTTGGGTTTTGTTTTGCGTGATAAAAGTTGGCTGCTTATGTCTCCAATATGGTACCTGAAGTTGTTATTGGTGATCCTGGACGCTTTCGGCAGATAATCACAAATCTTGTTGGGAATTCAATTAAGGTTAGATACGTTTCTTAATACTGGTTTGGTGATAAAAGCTTCCCTATTTTCTGTCCCTATATTGAAATGATAGGCTACCAGGTGCTAACAGAAATATACTATATAGTTGGGACTTGTACACGGTTAGATGATTATGCTTAGAACGATCCGTAATTTATAGTAGTTGTTTCACTTTTAGAAACTGTTTACAGGTTTTATTACGTACTCGTTATGCTAATTGTCTGTTAACTTGTTTAAACTGTAGTTCACCCATGACAAAGGACACATATTTGTCTCGGTGCATCTGGTGGATGAAGTGAGGGCCCCACCTGATCTTATGGATGAAGTTCTAAGACAAGGCTTTAACCTAGTTGGAGATGTCTCAAACAAAACTTATAATACATTGAGTGGCTTTCCTGTTGTCAATAGATGGAAAAGCTGGGAAGGTTTTAATTCAATACGCAGCACAACACTGGAGAAATCTGATATGATCAAATTACTCGTAACAGTTGAGGATACAGGTGTAGGAATCCCTCTAGATGCACAAAATCGCATCTTCACACCTTTTATGCAGGCTGATAGCTCCACTTCTAGAACTTATGGTGGTACTGGAATAGGATTGAGCATTAGCAAACGTCTGGTAGATCTCATGAGTGGGGAGATAGGGTTTGTAAGTGAACCTGGCACCGGAAGTACCTTTTCATTTATGGGAACTTTTGGGAAGGGAGAATTAAGTTCCCTGGAGACAAAGTGGCACCAGTATGAACCAGCTGTCTCAGAGTTTCAAGGACTGAGAGCATTGGTAATAGATAATAAAACCATCCGAACTGAGGTCACGAAATACCATATGCAGAGATTGGGAATATCTGTGGATACAGCGTCCTGTCTGGAATCAGCGTGCTCTTATTTATCTAGCGCTGGCAACACCAGGTGAATTTTATCTTTTCAAGTATAGTTTATGTTTGTAGTCGGTTTTATGTCCTGAAACAAATCATTGAAGACTCGTGGTCTTAATATACTTCTGTAGCATTTAATTACTGTGAACATGATAAAAGGATTCTCCTGGTATGATAAGAATTCATGGAATCAACCACTTCACAGCTTTACAATTTTTTTTTCACTTTCCATAACTTCTCTAAGAAAGTGATTTGGTATGCGTACACCTTAAACAACTTTTCTTAAAAAGTGATTTGAGACAAGAAGAAACTAGATACTTATTCTTCATACAACTCTACGACTTTATTTAAATTATACAAGGAAAAGGTAATTGATACTAATAAGAGAATGTTTTGATTAATAACAGTAGAATTTGGGTTTGATGTTTCTAATGCATTGTTAACTGTTTTTCGTGCAGTCTTTCCACACCGTTGGCCATGGTTCTTATTGACAAAGATGTTTGGGATAAAGAAACTGGTATTATATTGCATCAGTCACTTAAAGAGCACAGGAAAAACAACGTGGAATTGCTCATAAACCTTCCGAAGATACTTCTCGTGGCTACTTCCATCACTTCTGTTGAACGCAATGTAGTAACATCTTTAGGTCTTGTAGATAAAGTATTGACAAAGCCACTTCGGTTAAGTGTCTTAATTGCTTGCTTTCAAGAAGCCCTTGGAAGACGTAAGAAGAGGCTTCTAAATGCAAACAAGCCAACTCTTGGAAAGTTACTAAGAGAGAAGAGAATTTTGGTGGTGGATGACAATGTAGTGAACAGAAGAGTGGCAGAAGGTGCTTTAAAGAAGTATGGAGCAATCGTCACCTGTGTGGAGAGCGGAAAGGTTGCTTTGTTGAAGCTTAAACCACCCCACAACTTTGATGCTTGCTTTATGGATCTCCAGATGCCGGAAATGGATGGGTAATGAATCTGCCGACTCTTCATTCTCTAATCAAAGGGATCTTTAGTTTTTAACTGTCTATAATCATGCAGGTTTGAAGCAACTCGGATCATCCGTGGTATGGAAAGTGAGGTAAATGAGAAAATTGCAGCTGGGGAAGCATCAGTTGAGATGTTTGGCAATGTCGTAAATTGGCACACGCCAATATTGGCTATGACGGCTGATGTGATTCAGGCTTCAAATGAAGAGTGCATAAAATGCGGGATGGATGATTATGTGTCAAAGCCATTTGAAGAAGACCAGCTGTATTCAGCAGTGGCACGTTTCTTTGAGTCTGGTTAATCGAGAGGGATTCCTATTGATGTGGTTTTTCGTGGATTGATGTCCGTAGTGTCATGGGCTCTCCAATTAACACTGAGCTGCCCGGGCCCTACCTTGACTGGGTTGAGAGACTAGTTCTATCCATATTTTCCCAACTTCCAACCACGGTAATTTTCTAGCATTTCTCTTCTGCACATGTCAAAATATGTCTTTCAGCTGTTTCAGAAATGGTTTAACACAACCCATTTTGCTATTCTTTCAGGAATACTGCGTATTGGGCCACAGAGAACGTATTCATGTGCGTGTGTATACTGGGAGACTGGCTGCCATCACTTGTCGGATCAAATACTTTATGATCATCCGCCAAGCAAAATTAGAGAAATGATGGCCTTCGGTACATACCCTCTGCTCTTGTTTGTAGATAGCGTCTGCCTTCCGCTTCCACCTCAAAAAATTTTCCTCCATTGTTTGTAGTATGTAGGTCGGGATTAAGAACCATGTAGTGCCAAAATCATCCATTTTTTGAACTCTGCTGAGATGAATGAATCTTTCATCTCCTCGGTGTTGGTGCAAGATTGCAAGCTAATAAACCCGAATCCTTGAAGGATGAAAGATTATTTGTTCATTTTATCAGAGTTGATGGCTGCTTTGACATTCTACGCACGGAGGGAGATCGAAGAAAATACGAGACTCTTGATAATCGGAGATAAGAGAGCGTGTGCACTTACGAGTTAGTCTGAGAATGTCTTGAAATTTTTTTGTAGGGGTGCATATAACTGTATATATATATATATATATGTAATGAAGATCATGTTGTAGGTGTATCTTCAGAGTACCACTGAGTGTAAATTATATGCGTTTCCTATACTGCATAATTGGTTTCTCCATTGATGTTGCCAAAAACTGAGAGTACGGTTGGTTCGTTTGATAACCATATTTGTTTTTAGTTTTCACTGAATTCATGAATGAAAACAAAATCTCGAAAGAGAAATTTAGTTTTGGCTATCGTTTTGTGTACCCTTCAATATACATTTTTTTCCTCATCTCTTCTAACATCCTTCCTCCAATCCTCATCATTAAATCGATAACAAGCAATATTCTAAGCTTTTATAATTTAGAATTTTCAAATAGGAAGACTTGAACTCGAGAGAAGGGGATTTGAACTTAGATACAAGCGGTGAACACCGTTGTCTTGACCAATTGCTTGCCTCATAACTAGCAACAACTTATTTAACAAAGTAATCACGCAACCACAAACATCATCAGAGATTCAGAATATTAGTATCTGTACATAGTTGCTCTTTCAAATGAACGACCCTTCATTAAGAAAACTTGAACAATAGATTAAAAAAATGTACAGAATATGAGTCTCAGCATTTGCTTAAAACAGCCATAACATTGACACTTGATCTCTCGGGAATCCATTCGTAGCGCGAGAGAGAGATGGAGAGCGAATGCGGTTGCTTGAGCTCAAGTACACACTGAGCTAAACTGTTTATATGCTAGTAAGCATAGATATTCTAATTGAAATAGGAACCCTAATTGCAAAAGGAAATACACACACCATAAAAGGAAACCATAATCGACTAGGAAAACTTAAACACGTAGTTGGATATATGTTGAATTCTTTACCCACGTAGGTGTGACTTTCCTTTGCAAATGTAGATAAGTCTCGTTAGTTTGGGTAGGGTGCCCCCCGTTGACAGTATGAATCTCACATCAAAGAAAAAAAGTCTTGCTTAGTAGTTTAGATAACCCTTGGCTTCTCTCTCCTTTTGTCAATTAATTTGGGTTGGTTGCTCACATTCTAAAAACCCCGCCCAATTGCACTTTAATTCAAATCACCCTCCTCGTCAATTAGTTTTAAGTTAGATTCTCTCATTCTAATAGTCAGTCTTTGTAAACTAGAGTAGTTTATAATATTTGCCTTGTTTAAAAAGCAATTGTGACTTTATTTTTTATGTAGAACAATAGAGCGGTAGAGGAGAAATTTTGAAACACAAGGCTTGACATGGTAACATTAAATTCTACATCACATAATCTGTCTGCAACATCTCAACCCTCTTCATGATAGTATAAACACCTTCATGATGCTAATACAGCTTCCTAAGCCACTAAAAGCATATTTAGTGACAATTACCAAATCCCCACCCACCCCTAAAACATAGCCTACGATACATGAGTCTCCAATTATTTACTGACGGAATGGCCAAAAAACCAAAATACCAAAAATCTTGTCGAATAAACCCCATTACACTGCATTAGTTTTTATATTGCACCTGAAATCAAATTTCTTTCTCCATAACACGGTAATGTGCCCATCTCTTGCATCTGCTTAAATTATTAAAAGAGATCCTTAAAACACTAATTTCCAAAGTTTTACACTAATACATAATATATATATATATATATATATATATTTATATATATATATATATGTGGAGGTGGCTCTGGTCCTGGCCACCGAGACTTTCATTCGGATAGGTCATCCGTAGTAAAAACAAACCTCTCTCTCTCTCTCTCTGAAATGTCGAATTTTCTGATAAAGGTGATAATTTCTCTGCTCGTTCTCTCAGTTGCTCCTCTCAAATCAGGTAACCTAATCACACAACTTTTTGAGTTTCGCGTCCATGCATGATGCATATAAGTTCAGTCTCCATGTATCGAACCCTAAAAAGAAACTTTAGTGTGATTTATTTTCTACTAGCATTGTCACTTAATGTGTGTGTGTGCGCGCACACTACATTTTTCAGTTGCGGAGTTTGAGCAATGGTGCATCGCCGACGAGCAGATGCCGGACAGCGAGTTGCAGGCAGCAATGGATTGGGCTTGCGGGGGAGGAGGAGGTGCAGATTGTAGCAAGATTCAGGTGAACCAAGCTTGCTATTTCCCTAACACTCTGAAAGACCATGCTTCCTATGCATTCAACAGCTACTTCCAAAGATTCAAACACAAAGGTGGATCTTGCTACTTTAAGGGTGCTGCTCTAATTACAGAACTTGATCCAAGTAAGTCCTTCATTATCTTTTTTCTTTCTGTTTTTAGCATAAAACCAAAAAGAGTGAAGAAAGGAGCATGTGACATGTCCATACAAATGTTGGTGGGTTAGCCATGTGATGTGAGATTTGGATAACGTGGTTAGTTTTCTTAAGAGAAAAACTTGGTAAGGGCACTTGATCAGGTCATTCATAAGACTCTTTTCAGAAAATATAAGATTATGTATTTTGATCTTATTCGGTGTGAGAGTCTAAAAGATGTCTTAGTCATACAGCCTTACCGAATATCTTATCGTTTCTTATAATCGTAGAATGGAAAATTTGAAGAAAGTTATTATATGAAATAACTGAATGTAGTAACCATCGTTCCGTTAAGGTTCTAAAAAAAAACCTAAATGTAGTAAATTTAAAATGATTATATATGTTCATAATGATTTGAAATCACTAATTCCTCTTCGTTTTCTTGCTGTCAAAATCTTGTCCGTAACTTTCAAAAAAGGACCATGACTCACATGGGATCTACTGTAACTTGTTTGCTTATGATGTCAATTATTTTTGCCACAATAAAATAATATTTATTTTTTAATGTTTTCCTGCAGGCCATGCCTCTTGCCACTATGAGTTTATTCCTTGATTGCAAGATTCCAAATGCCCATTAGTAAATTTAAATTGAAGATTGCTGCTATGGAAGCATATGTCCCGCAGAAATTTACTCAGAAAACATTCCAAAGTGAGGTTATATTCAGCTTTCAATCATATTAAATGATTTTTTTTTTCTTCTTTCAACAAGTCACAAAAGGGCAACTGTACAATTATTAGTAAACTCATTCATCATGTACTGTATTTTGTTTTATGAGTAAACTGTCGGTTTACCCCCTGAACTTTCACCTCACTTTCGATTTCCCCCCTGAACTTTTCCATTGGAAAATTAAGGACTCAAACTAATTTTTTTAGCCAATTTGCCCCCTACCGTTAGTTTTTCATATATTCCATCCATATTTCCGTTAAGTGAGACCATGTGCACAACATGTGAGGGTAGTTAAGTTATTTCACTCTTAAAAATGATTAAAAAACTAAAAATAATAAAAAAAGCAAAACTTTCCCTCTATTTTTTCCCGCTAATTCCTATCCTCGATTTTATTTTTCCCTCTCATTCCTATGCATGAGAAATGACATATGGTGTTATTGTCTACCATTTTTATTTTCTCTAACAAATTAATAATTTGACAAATGCTAATGGTGCTATTGTCTCCAAAGCAGTGCATTAATATAAGAAACCCTAGTCTTTTTTATGGACATGTTTCTTATATTAATGCACTGCTTTGGAGACAATAACACCATAAGCATTTGTCAAATTATTAATTTGTTAGAGAAAATAAAAATGGTAGTACATGCTTCAAAAAAAGATTAACTTAGCTACTTATGAAGACAATAACACCATATGTTATTTCTCATGCATAGGAATGAGAGGGAAAATTAAAATTGAGGATAGGAATTAGCGGGAAAAAATAGAGGGAAAATTATTATTATTATTTATTTTCAGTTTTTAATCATTTTTAAATTGAAATGACTTAACTATCCTCACATGTTATGCACATGGTCTCACTTAACGGAAATATGGATGGAATATATGAAAAACTAACGGTAGGGGGCAAATTGGCTAAAAAAATTAGTTTGAGTCCTTAATTTTCCAATAGAAAAGTTCAGGGGGGAAATCGAAAGTGAGGTGAAAGTTCAGGGGGTAAACCGACAGTTTACCCTTTGTTTTATTTGGTTTCCGATGTCGGATTCTTTTATTTTTCAACAGAAACTTCAAAGAATATTTCATATTCTGTGATTTTTCAAATTAAGTAGTCCGCTTGCTTTGAATATATAGGAACTATAGCCATAGGATTTGAGAGAGATCCAGCTAGTGGCACCTGACATGGCATTTCCACGATTAAATAATATTTTTCATTCTAATTTTTGCCACCTAGTCTCTTGCTCCTATTAAGCTTAGGGTTAGTTTTTAAGACCATCTCCAATCCTTGGGCTAAAAACCAAATTTTTTAGCCCGGAAAATTTAGCTTTTAGCCCAGAAACATCTTTTCTGCTCCAACCCTTCTACCCTAAAATTTTAGCCCGGAATTATTAAAGAATGAAATTAGCCTAATTTTTTTTCTTAAATCAATTTTTTTTAAAAATAAATATGTAGATTATTGTAAATTAATTTTATGAACATTTTAATCTAAAAAAATTTAAATTCCGATAAACATTTCGCATTTAGCCCGGGGGGGAAAGCTGGGGGGGTATTTGGCCCAGAAATAGCATTTGGCATTTAGCCTAAAATTTTAGCATGGGTTGGAGAGTGTTTGGGGGAGTAATTTGGGGGGTAATTTGGCTTTTAGTCCAGGGTTGGAGATGGTCTAAGGGGGCCGGCTTATAGGACATGCGTCTTTCTGACCTGATAACTAGTATCACGTCACCGCCCAACTCTCTCAACGGGCCTTTTTTTTTCGCAATACTTAATAAGGTCTCATGTCAATGAAATTAATTAACTCAATTCCTGGTAAAATTAAATGTGCCAAGACCTCTTATATTTGAATGCAAGATTCAAGGCAGTAGTGCAAGTGCAAGACTCCAGTAGCTCCTCTGTCATCAGAAATTGAGCTTCTGTGAAATTGGGCTTCTGGGCTCTCAACCTGTAAGGGCTTTGGCTCATATTTGGTCTTCGGTTCTGCCATTGCTTTTGATGGGCTTTGCATATTTCTTTTGTATTTTGAGCCTTTCGACTAACCTTTTATACAAGCGACAACACAAAAAGAAAATCGAACACGAAACTTCAAATGCAATGACGAATACTCTTAACCACTTGAGCTTCCAAATCGACACGCAAGCAAGTTTCACGTTCATTACTTTTCATGGACGCATGTTATATTTAATTACCCTAATCCCATGAGTCCATGACTCACATTAATTACATAAAGAATGATCTCAAGAGATATCGAGTATAATAATCCAACAAAGTTCAAAAGTTGAGACAAAAATCAAGTTCTTGTGTGGCAAATCGAAAAGGGTCGATGGAGGGGACCTATGTGTGACCTAAAATGCAGAACAAAAATTGGAGTTTGGATCCAGTTTTGAGTTTGAAGGGTTGGCAAAGACGGACAGGGATCCGATCCCTTCCATCAAATCCTACCAATCAACAAATTCGGGCTCTTGAAATTTGATCCAACTGCTAAAAACAGCAGGTTCCTTTAAAAGTTATAATAACTTTAGCCGTTTGATCAAATTTTAAGGATTCGAATTTGTTAATTGATAGGATTTGGTGGAAGAGATCCGAAGATGATGCATTTCAGCCAATGACAAAGGCAAAGCCTGCAACTTTGGGGGGAAAATGAGATGAGGACAAAACTTGGAAAGTGTAAAGCATGCAAGGGCAGAACATGAAACATTTGGTGCTGTCAATCTCCCAAAAGCCGTAACATGGTCGGCGTGATGATAGGGAATAGGAATTTACATGCAACAAAGTCAAGGTTTCATCATGCCTTTTGCTTCTCTCACTCACTTCCTTCGTAGAAAGTAGGAAACTAACTAGTTATGTTTCAAAAATAGTTGTTTGCACGCGTAATTCGTTGTTAGATGACAGTCTTTGATATGTTGTAGTACTTATTTATATTGATAGTTGACAGTCAATCATGCACAGATGGACGACTTACGATGCAGCCAACCTAAGTAGTGGTCATACTTAGACTTCCTTGTTATTGGGACCAAATTGTACGAGGTTCTTTAGGTTACAAACTTTGGGAGGTCTTAGGGTACAACTTAGGCACATATAATTTCACCCTTTCTTTTGTTAACTTTTGTATAACTTATCATAATCCGAAATCAAATGGTTTTATTGAAAGCTTTGGCTAATTAGTAGGCAATATCAATTTCGTTACAATACTATAGAAATTCCCTAGCTACTTTCACCTACGTGAGACAAAACATCATTACTTCGGATTCATCACCACGTGAGATAAAACATCATTACTTCGGATCCATCACTACGTGAGACACAAACATTATTACTTTAAACAAATGTGTACGTTATGGACATTGAATCACATATACGTCTTATGAAAAATGAAATGTTATATCATCGAACACGACTTCAAGATGAAACGTTTGCATATATCTTGATATGCGAACATCCTCACTCGAAAGTGATATCCTATATCTATATGCGCATGCATCTATCGTTGTTTGATCGGTCGATCTAATGGATGCAAACGATGAAAGCACAACAAGAAAACCACTTGAGAAGATTAGAGGTCCTTTTCACTTGAGCAATAAGCTAATACTTATACTTACTTCAAGCAAAATACTAATCATCTCTCTCTCTCTCTCTCTCTCTCAACAAAATGCCAAATGGAGTAATGGAGAAAGGGCGACTGAAGATAAGGGAGTGGGCCATTAGGTACACTCACTTAGAGGGACAAAGAAGTAACAAGATTCCCATTCTCCTCAGAAATATTTTTGCACTCTCCGGACGGTGGTATTCATCACTCAATTGATTACAGTTGGATAAATTTGATTTAATTTATTAACTACATAAATTTTGAAATTTAAACTAATTTAATGATAATTAATAGGGTAGTAATCGAACGTCACCGCGGCTCAAAGATATTGAGCAAAAATACACTGTTTTTGCATAAGTTCTTTTGCAACTTTGATTCTGCAGATTAACATAATATTAAATCACATTTAGGGATGAGAATCACTTGCATGATAAACATTGATTGATTCAATGTCTGAAATTCTTTTGGGATTAATTAAATATTTATATGCTTCGTCTGGAATAAGAATTTGATTGGGATTTCTGCACTCACATCTTCTAACTTTCAAATAAATATTTTGTATTTTATGTATTAGCATGCGCATAAAGTGCTTCACCAAAAATAAGTACTACTGATCATCAAGGTGGAGAATTGACTGTGGTCACACATGGTGAAATTCCTCATAACTTATTTGGATCGAAAATGAGTGGATAAGCATGATTTACCACAAATTATCTATTTTTTGAAAGAAAAAATAAATTCAAGGGCAGAGAATAAATGAATATGTACTTAGCGTAAATTAAATATATAGAATAAATTGCAGCTATAGTAAAAAATTCATTACTCGATTATCGCTTCCTTTTTCTTCTAATATTTCATCCACTTATATTTGTTTATACAACGGTATATTTACTTTAGAGGTGAAACATTAAATTGATGTTAAACTCGTTTATAGAACTAAAAACATCTCACTTACAAATAAAATAAAAAATAATATCACTAAATTATAGTACTTAAACGATTTCATCGCTTCCTTGAATTATAAACATATTTGCATCATTTTATATAATTTCATATCAATTGGTGGGGGAATCCCCATCAAAGTTGTTTTGCAATTAAAATAAGAACAACTTGGATTAGGAAGACAAAGAAAAGCTCAAGTGGAAGTGGAAGGCACTACTTTTTAAATTTTCCTACGTCATCTTAATTTATCACTTTTAAAATTAACATAACAAGGTTCTCTTCTCTCTATGCTCAACCGTGTGTGTCACTTTCTAGATTGACCCACTAAACCCTTTCTCCTACCATTTGTACCCCTCCACTCCTCTAGATTAAATTGAATTTAGCTTGTAAATAATGCTATAAACTAATAGTAATCTTAGGTTAACTGGACAGACGCGCTGATTCAGATTGTTGATGCGATGTGTAAATGACTTGATTATGGTTGAGATTATAGTATTAGATCGACTAAGCTATATATTATAAATGTAGAAAGAATTTGTAAGTGAGGAGAATGAATGTACTTGATTTCGCCGGTGATTGGTAAGATATGTTCCGAGCAACATAAATATGCACTATATTATCAATGATTGAATAATTTTATTATTACGGTCCATTAAGATTCGATATTCGTACTTCAATTGATTATGAAAAAAGGGAATATTGGTCACTTCATATCTAGCTTAAGAACCTATGATGCCATAGTATCAACATAAGATCTCATTTGTAATTTTGTAGTATTTTAAAGCTAATTCATTAAAGTTTGCAGTTTGGCATAATCTTACTTTTGCTTTTATTCTTTCTTTTATGATGTTTTTTTATATACAAACGATAATTTCCTATAAACCAAATTAAATCATAGGTAGTAGAATTTGAACTTAGTTGTATAAAGAAAGCACATCCGCTTTAAGTAATATAATTGTGTTCTCGTTTTTATGGTGTTAGAACATCCTCAATGGAGGCTTTATCCTCTATGAGGCTATTACATTTCAAGCCTTAGTGATAAATTTCATCTCTAATGAGCCGAAAAATAGAGCTAGATCAGCCATTGGGGCTTGCAACTTCCTTTCTTGGGTAGCATAAAATTGAGCTAAATCTAGCCCAAAAAAATAGGGGGTCCCACAAAAAAAAAGTAGCAACTCATATGATCAAAATTCTATTACTCTCCCTCCACTTCCGAATACACTTATACTCTCCTATATTCTTTTTCAAATTCTTTTTCCTTACATATTTTCCTCGTAATTTGGCTAATTAATTATTGTTTTAAATTTCATAAGAATTAAAATTTCAAATTGGTTTAATGTTCATGGGCACTGGTGGGTGAAATTTTCAAATAAATTTTTTCAAAATTGTATGATACTAATTTACCAATTAATGCTAGGTAAATTGTGTGTTGTACGTGAAATACAAATTATTTCTGAGGGCAAGGTTGGAGTTTGCATATTTAACAGATGAGATTGAAATAAGATAATCTAATCCAACAAACGGTTCATAAGTGATAAAATCTAATTTTATCACAATTTGAACTTATGAAAATCTAACTTTGTTTCATATAAAGCCCGAAAGAAATAACCCCTCGTGGACATGAAGCATATGGTGGTTGCGTGGAAGGTTTTTTCTGTTACTTCAACTGAACCAACTTTGCAAACAAATCCCACTGGTAGTAATGTTATTTCACACTATTTAAAGGGCTTTTTCTAACTCAGAGTTTTTATATTCCACAAGTGGGTTCTCTTCTTCTTCCCTCTCTCTCTCTCTCTCTCACTAAGTCAGTCACGCCCACAGTCAGTAAAAGACTGGTCTGCGGTGGAATTCGAAGCTTCAAATTCCTTCAAATTTCAAACAAGGTACAACCAGAGATTTGATATTTTCAAATCAGAAGTCATCATTTACTAGTTTTTGCTTTCAAACCCTCTGTTTAGCGTTGGTATTACTGGTTGTGTTACAAACCAGTCCTTTCCTTTTTTTGGGGAAAGTTTTGAGCTCTGAGTTGTGTTTTCATGGTTGATTTTCCATTGCTGAAACTGGGTTGCTGATGTTTCTTCAAGGTATATCATTACGAACTTTGCTTTCCTTTTGGTGGGTTTTATGGCGCTCTGTTTTCAAATTCTGTGTTTTTTCCCTTGGAAAGACTGGAGCTTCAATTTTGAAGTTGTTTTTGTTTCAGATTTGGTGGCGACCCTTTTGTTTATGAACTAGAAATTGAATGTTTGTGAAAAAGATTAAATCTTTATCATTGTCTTGGACCAAATGGGGTTTCTCAAAAAACCAAAATTTGGGTGTTTTTCCGAATGGTTGGGATGATGATTTGGTGGATGGAATGGTCAGTGTTTTCCTGTGATTCATTTTGTTGGAGAGTTTCATACTTTGTTTGGCTATCGAAATGGAAAAAATGTGGCAGCAGAGAGTGGTTAAAGGGTTAGAAAAGAGAGTTGCAGAGAATGTCTAAGAACACCAGATCATACTAGTTTAGTATTCCATTCTCTAGTTTCTGTAATCTTGTTAATTAGAAGTTTACCATTGAGATTTGAGATCATTTGGTTTCATAGTTTACTTGGAAATCAGACTAATATTGCACCAGTATTGCACTTGTTATCTTTACAGTATTGCACAGATCTCTCATTATTTTGTTATGCAGATTATGCTGGTTCTGTATTATGTTGTGCCCTCTTTGTTCCGTATATCTGTGTAACCAAGGTCTCTTATTGTAATACAGATAATGCTTCTGGCAAGCGAATTTGAAGCTTCCTATGCAGCTCTAACGAAGCTTGGATAACACAAATAGAAAGATAGATTTCGGCAACAGAGTCAACAATTAGACTACTCTTCAATGCAAGCATCAAAGGAGCAGAGAATTTCAGGGATGTCAAACCAGTTATATTATCAGCCAATCCAAGAAGTAGAGGCCTACTGCTTGCCTCGTTTCCAAACTTTGGACCCGCGGCTACATTACAATGAGAGCAGCCAAAGTACCCACCTCCCATTGCAGAGTTTCCATGAACACTACTGCACTTTGGAGTCTTCCTGGTCTAATGGTAGCTACACCGTTTATAACACCCCATCAAATGTCAGTTTCTCACCTAGTGGAAGCCCGATGTCACAGCAAGACTCTCATTCGTATCTGTCTGATCAGTACCATTCCCCTGACCAGACCTACAGCTCTCCGATGAGTGGATCCTGCATAACCGATGATGCAACTGACTTAAAGTACAAGCTGAAACAATTAGAAACTGTAATGCTGGGTCCTGATTCCAATATTCTTGATAACTATTGCATTACTTTCCCGAATGGGGCGAGCAATTCCCTGCCAGACGAGGACAGCTGGGGACAGATTATGGAATCAATCTCTAAAAAGGATTTGAAGCAAGTCCTCATCTTCTGTGCAAAAGCAGTAGCAGATAATGATCTGTTAATGGCACAATGGATGATGGATGAGTTACGCCAGATGGTTTCAGTTTCGGGTGAACCAATTCAGAGGTTGGGTGCATACTTGCTGGAAGGACTAGTTGCGCGGAAGGCATCTTCGGGGAGTAACATCTACAAAGCACTGAGATGCAAAGAACCAGCGAGTTGCGAACTCCTTTCTTACATGCATATTCTCTATGAGGTTTGCCCTTACTTCAAATTCGGGTACATGTCTGCAAATGGAGCCATTGCAGAAGCCATGAAGGATGAGGACAGTGTTCACATCATTGATTTCCAAATCGGTCAGGGGAGTCAGTGGGTCACTCTAATCCAAGCTTTTGCATCCAGGCCTGGTGGACCACCCCACATCCGTATAACAGGTATTGACGATTCCATGTCAGCTTATGCCCGTGGAGGAGGACTAAACATTGTGGGAAAGAGGTTGTCTAAGCTTGCAGAGTTGGTCAAGGTTCCATTCGAGTTCCATGCCACTTCCATGTCTGGTTGTGACGTACAGCTGGAGCATCTTTGTGTTCGACCTGGGGAGGCTTTGGCTATCAACTTTGCGTTCATGCTGCACCACATGCCCGATGAGAGCGTCAGCACTCAGAATCACCGGGATAGGCTGTTGAGGTTGGTTAAGAGCTTGTCTCCAAAAGTGGTGACCCTCGTTGAGCAAGAATCTAACACAAACACTGCTGCATTCTATCCACGCTTTGTAGAAACACTAAATTACTACACAGCTATGTTCGAGTCAATTGATGTGACTCTTCCGAGAGATCACAAGGAGCGGATCAATGTGGAGCAACACTGCTTGGCTAGGGAGGTTGTTAACATAATAGCATGCGAGGGCGTTGAGAGGGTGGAAAGACACGAGCTTCTTGGAAAGTGGAGGTTGCGGTTTGCAATGGCTGGATTTACACCGTACCCTTTAAGCTCCTTGGTAAATGCCACCATCAAGACGCTGCTGGATAACTACTCTGACAAATATCGGCTTGAAGAGCGAGATGGGGCACTCTATCTTGGCTGGAAGAACAGAGACTTGGTTGCTTCTTGTGCATGGAGGTGCAAACCGAGCACGAATTGATGCTTCTTTTTTTTATGTCGGAATGGAGGCGAGGCAAGCTTGGAGATTAGAACATGTTTTTTCATGTGTTCTTTTGCACTTGTAAGCTGCCAACTGCTTATAAAAAGGGTGGCATCAGCTGTGTACACTTGATAAAATCGAAGTTATCTGTTTTAGAGAGAGAGAGAGAGAGAGAGAGAGAGAACTTGGATTTCATAAGGCATTGGTTTGTACATGGTTGTCTGAGTAATTGGCACAAATGCTTTGCTTTTTTTCTTCCTACCTTTTTCTTGAGGAAGTTTAAATCCAATACCATCAAATAAAGAGAATTGAAAGAAAGTGGTTGTTTGGGAGATTTGTTTTCCTTATTCAAATAATAGTTACTTGGGTTTGAAGGTAGAGGAATTTTAGTTTGAGTGAAGTTCCACTTTGGTCTCTGTAGATTTACTCGTCGCGGACTAAACTCCAATATTTTCCTTTCAGTACAAGCGTCGCAGGCTAAACTCCAATATTTTTTTCCCTTTTGGTACAAGCAACATTCTTCGCAAAGGGAGAGGGAGGGTCTGAATCCAGGACGTTGTGGGTTAAAAGAGGAAAGCCCTATCCGCCAGAGCAATCAACTACTTGCACTCAAATGGCAACTTATGTGCTAATTCCGTTAAAGTGGCGTTCTTGAGCTATTATTCTTGAATTGCAACAATTAGTAAACTAAAAAATTTAAATCGCAACAACTGAGACTACGAGACCAAAACTATTCAAGTAAACTAAACGATTAGGGTTCGTGAATAACATTAGCACAACCAACTTTTCATATATCAAGTACTAACATGACATGAGAGTCCTCCTGCCTTAGTCTAATCCCTACATCTTTGAGGTCATTCAATCTATATAAAATAATTTACACAACTTCTGTTAACCTTCCAATCCGCTGTCGGACATTATTGGCATTCCGCCAAATCCTACCCTCCAATCCCGACCCAGAGCATCCTCTCCGGAGACGAAAACAAGAGGAAGAATGAATAAGATGAACCCTAGCACCAGGCATGTCCTGATGCATTAATTCATTATTTAGGGTGTCGATGAATCTAGATCCAGCATTGCAGGTTAACTGTCAACAGGTTCTGCTTTCGGCTTTTCTTGCTCCGGTGGATTACTTTCCGGACGCAGATTGTCGCAAGCCACCATATCAACGCCTTCTGACTTAATTCCCATCTCAATAGTTTTCTTATGATTTGCTCTGCAAACAATCATGTAAGGGGGGTCGCTTTCCGTTGTCGTACATGCTTCGGCAACCGATTGATCATGTAGTGTTCTTTCGGAGCCTAGATCAGAATCAACGACCATATCTGAGCCAGCAACATCACTTGGTTTAGTTTTTGACTCATCGTTCCGTTGCTTGCTTAGTTTAACTTCATGTTCTGGGCTAGTATCGCGGCAGACAGCATTCCCTTCGGGTATAGTGCCAGACTCACAAATGCGGGCTGTCGTAAACACGTTTGATGCTGCTGTATTATGGGTCACAGTCCTTGTCGGGGGCATATCATGATCATGTTGCCCCTCATATGTGGCTATAACGACTTTTGAATCATGAGACGCCCTCTCTACATGTTTCTTAACAGGGCATCCAGGATTTGAGCATCTGTAGTAACTCCTACATAATGCAAGTACAGACGCAGAGGAGAGTCAGCAAAAATATACCATATAAACTACGACAAATAAAAGAATGCCAAATAGATTAACTGAGAACTTCGAAACACAAACCAATTCTGTTTCATATCATTCTAGACTAACACCAAACAAGACTAAACTAAATAAAACACGAAGCAGGACACGTTTGAACAGAGCTCACAGATACTGACTATTGTCTAAGAAGTAATAATATCTAATTCTTCTAGTTTATCCCAGGAGCAAGATAAAAGACTAGAGAAGCATACGTAAGTTACATGAAAGAAGGAAAAGAATGTCGTATGTGATCTACGCATTTACAAATGAGCAGAGTGGCAATTTAGGTGCACACCTGACGCCTCATATAAAGCGTCAATACATGGAAGCATTAAACTGATTATACCTTGGATTTGGATTGCCTTTTACTAATTTCTGCCCGTATTTGCGCCATCTGTACCCATCACTCACTATATCAACCTCACTCATAGTCTGAACAACCATACGTGGTTCAACAGCTGGCTTATCCACCAGTAATGAGTTGCCATTATGTTTTGCCTTCTTCCTGATATTTATTTTCCAATATCAATAAAACAAAGGTAAGTTTAATATACCAGTACAGGAAAATTCACAATAGCTATTGCAAGAACATACTGTCTTATAGGGTCAGGATCGCCATCTCTCGGTCTATTTGACTGAGAGAGCACACCCTGCACGGCTTCAGTAACTGCAACGCTTGAAAGCTGTGGAGGATCTACTGGCTCAATCTGGTTTGATTCGTGCTCATGCGCATTTGACGATTTGTCTTCAAATACAAGGTCATCAAATAAATTAAACAAGATTTGGCATTGTAAGAACCATATCTAGACAACAACTAAGTTTCATTCTCACCTTCAACATCAGTTAACAAAAGCACTTTTGGTCTTTCGTCCTCAACAATGGACACAACAAAACTAACAGCTACTGGGACACTTCGGAGTTTAGGATGTTCATGCTCACCAAAGTATACAGTATCTGTTATCTGGCCACTAAGTGCACGTTCCACTTGCTTCTTCACTTCACATTTTGGATGCGTACATCTGTAGTAACTTCTTACATATGAATTTCCCTTAACAAATTTCTGGCCGTATTTTCTCCAGTGATAACCATCGTCTAACACTCTCTTAAGTGTAGTAGATGGAGTGGTTCCTTCTTGAGCAGATTGCAAGGCAAGTGCAGCGGTTTCAGGAGTTTGTGGGGTTTTCTCAGATGTTAAAGAGGAAGCACTTCCTTCTTGATTTGGTTGTGACGCAGTAACAACTCCATCAGGCACCTGTGACGCTTTCTCAGGTGTTAGAAATTGAGCAGTCCCTTTATGATCTGATTGCAACGGACAGATCCCCTTATTAGGAGCTTGATGTGGCACATGAATTTCACTATCAGAACTCTCTTTCTTCTGTACTATATCAGAAGCAACTTTATCTGTCCCATCTTCCCCTAAAGGAATCATGTGAACTTGATTCTTGTATCACAGCCTGCAACTCAGCTCAGGATGCCACCATCACAGTTTACCTCCGTCTCAAAAAAAACTCCAATACAGCAGGTTGTTCAACTCTGATCGTTTAAAGCACGGAAAAGAATGTCGCGGTCAGGACTTGCTATCTGCAGAATAGATCAGAGCAGTCATAAGGAAATGTCCCGAGTCCCAATTTAGCTAAACAAAGATCACAAACACCATAATTGTCTGGTTTTCAGAAGAAATGAAAGACGACACGAAACTCCTAGTCCTAGGTTATCAATGTGAATGGATGTGCGGGCGTGTGTATATACATGCATATATATATATTGTTTTGATTTGGTTAAGCATATTATGTAGGTGAAGCGGCTCTGCTACTAATATTTCAAAATTTGTTACTGTTTTCGAAAAGAAAATAAAAAATTTAAATACAGAAAGAGTAATGAGACACATAAATAAAATTCCAAATCTTTTTGTCTATATATTACTCAGAAGAACAAAAATTACCACCCATTACCCAGAAATATAAATTTTAGCTTGAAAAAACAAAGGTTCATAACTTTAAACAAATTAACCATTGAGTCAAATGATTAGCTCGGTTCAGTGAGGTTCCAGGAAAATGAAACTAAAGAAAACAGAAAATTTGGGACTCAATTACGCAATTTTCTCACACTTTCTCAGCAACCAAACAGAGGATGTAGTAATTAAAAGCTAGAACTACAACAAATAATTAAAAATACACCAAAAAAAAAATTCAAGGCACATGAGTTGAGGTTATATTAAAAAATTAATAAACAGTATAATTACAAAAAATTAAAAAATTAATCTCAAAACCATCAATTTTTTAGCTCCAACAACAAACCCTATGCAGTACAGTACGAAAAGAGAAAACTACAAACCCCCAATTCCGCGGGAAGCCGGGGGATTGAGATTGAATCAGAGCCGTAGATCACGGCGGCGGTGGTGATTGGGCTGGCGGGAGACAGGGAGGAGCTGGGTGGCAGTGAGAGAGACGAGTCGAAGCTCTCTGCGTCGTTTGCCAAAAGTCTAAATCCGATGGGGGTAGACTGTAGAGAAAGAGGGGGAGGAGAGATTTTTGTTGCCCGCGATGAGGTGCACGGAAGAATATTTGTTCCTCGGGCTGTCCTGCGGTTTGATTGGTTATAATCGTACGAATCTTTAACATGTGGGCCATGGTTGTTTTCTTGGAGTTTGGACCTTGATAACGACTTTCCCGGTTGCTGTAATAAGGCCGTGGCGCCTGGTCCCGTTTTATTTATTTATTTTTTTTGTTAAAAGGATAAAATTTTGTTAAATTAAATATGAGATTAGTAACCAACGGAATTCAAACTGTCTTAATACCATAAACATTTAGGGGGTGTTTGTTGTACCGGACTATCTCGGACTGGACTAGCTGCAGGGACTAACCTGGACTGGCTTAAACTAGACTAATATGGACTAGCTTAGTGAAACGTTTGGTGCAGTGTCGGATAAGAAGTAGGATAATAAAATTCTTTTCTTTTTTATTTCTTTTTCTTTTCATTTTCTAGAACTATTTGTTTTCCTTTTTCTTTTCTTTTGTCTTATTATATTTATTTTCTAGAACTCTCTTCTGTTCTCTGTCTGTTTTTCTTTTTCGTTTTTTTTCTTCTCTTTTCTTTTCATTTTTTTTCTTCTCTTTTCTTTTCATTTCTAGAACTCTGTATTCCCTTCCCCCTTCCGTTTCTTCACCTGTATTCCCCAAGTTAGTCATAGTGCACAGATTGATAATTACAAAATGGAAACATGCCTCACCTTCAATTCTCAATTCCTAATTTTTTTCCCCAAATTTCCAATTCCCACCAAAAACCCCAATGCTACTCCTTCCAATTCCGTCGGCGGCCATGGTGAGTTTTCCCGTCCGACAACCTCTCTCTCTCTCTTTCCTTTGTTTTATCATCTAAATTCATCCGGCCAAATCCTTCTCTCCCCTAATTCCGTCGGCAGCCATGGCGAGTTTTCCTGTTTGGGTGGTTCTAGTTCTAAGATTTTTGGGGGTTCTGGGTCGTAATCGGATTCTGAGTAGTTCTGCACTCCTTTGCGATGCAAGCTTGTGGTGGTGGCTCGAGGGATTATGGGAAGACAAGGGGCAGTGACTTAGTCCTAGCTAATACCAAGGTTTCAGTCGGGACTAGCTAGCACCGCTTAGCGAAGTCCGGAGTCGAGGCGAGTCCGACTTAGCGTCATTTAAGTTAGTCCCTTGCTATGCCAAACACAGGACTACACGGACTGTTAGTCCAGTCCTGTCCAGTGAATGCTAACGATGTCAAACAAACGACCCCTTAAGGTTTAGGCAGTACCAAATTAGCACTAAATTATTCATAATTTTGCTCGGTTGTCAAACATAATTTTGAATCCCAACTTTTTTCTACCTCTGCTTTTATAAAAATTTAAGCATTACCAAACTGGCACTAGACTATTTACAATGTCTTCATCTTCAATACACTACGGCTCAGATTCAAACTCTCTTCCCATCTCTTCCCATCTCTTAATCTCAATTAGTGTAGAATATATTAAAATTCTCAAAAACAAATAGCATAACAGTTGCACAAACCCCTTTTTTTGTTAACAAACAAAATTATCTACATTAAGGAGTAGGGGAGTGGGATAAATCTCATAATAAGTTAACAATAATATGGTTCAAATTACGAGAATCGAATATAAAACATATTACTTATGAGTACTAGATCGTAATATTAAGTGGCAAAACTTGATTTTATTCCACGGAAAATACCTGCCAATCCTTTACTACGCGCGTCCTGCATCAGTACATACACCGCCATACACAGTCGGACGCGTTTCGTCTTCTTTCCTAAATCAACCCCAATTTTCCAAGTCCAATCCACACACGAAAGGGAAATCTCATACCCTAATTCCCAAAATTCGCCTCTAATTCTTGGCAAAACCCTCAATTTCTCACTCTTTCCAGTCTCACCATCTCCCTCGTCCCAAACCCTAACCTTAATCCAGAAGCAGAATGCTTCTCACTCCAGGCCACTCTCCTCGCCACCTCTCATCCCCTTCGCCCTCTACAATTTCCGAAGCTTCTGCCCTAAACCCTACGAATTCCACCCAAATCACACCCAAGAACCCTAAAGGCCACCCCACGGTCCTCGATGAAGACACATATGTCGCCGCGATCGAGAAGATCATTGAAAGGGACTTCTTTCCCGATATTTCCAAGCTCCGGGACCGCCTCGACTGGCTCGAAGCGATCAAGACCCGCGACCCGGTTCAGATTCGAGATGCCCAGTTGAAGATCATCGAGCGGCGCGGAAAGAAGGTAACTCATAATCCTGACCCTGATGGTAGAACCCCAGGTTCGACTTTTATGCGTAGTTTTACCCCTGCCGATGAATTTGATGGTAAAACCCCGGGTGTTTCGAATGTGGGATTGTCCGGTGATGTAGGGTCTAGCGGCGGTGATGATGGCGTAGAGGGCTCGTTGTCACTTGATCAGTTCTTTAGGCGGTATACGAGTGAGGACAATCATAGTTTTTCGAATATTTTGGAGAAGGTGAATAGGAAGAGGAAGGAGAGATATGAGTATTTGACGGAAGGCGAAAAGGAGGAGGTTAAATCTATTGAGGATGTGAAGAGGGATAGGATTACAGATGGGTATGGAACGTCGGATCAGCCGCCTAGTACATTGGATGGGTGGAAATATACAGCGAAAAATTTGCTGATGTACCATCCTGCTGATCGAGGTGAGGCCCCATTGACAGAGGAGGAACGTGCAAATAGGATGAAGAGTTTGGAGAAGGAAATTAATCGACCCAATACGCGATTCCATGGGAAGATAATGGATTCCAGGCCAAAGGAGGATGCTATGGCCGAGTTTCTTTATACCACAGTTGCAGGTGCAACCCCAGTTATCATGGATAGAGATGGGGATAAGTTGAAGAAGTATGATTTGGATGATTTGAGGAAGACTCCCAATCCATTTTATGTGGAAACGGAGAAAAAAGCAGATAATGGTTATAGTTTTGTGAAGACACCCTCGCCTGCACCAGGTGTTGATGAATCACCGTTTATTACATGGGGTGAAATTGAAGGGACACCTCTGAGGTTGGATCTCGAGGACAATCCAGTTGATATTGGTGGTGGTGAAGGGCCTCATTATAGGATCCCATGCCCACCTGTAAGAGATGAAAAGGCTCACTCGCTGTCAAGGGAAGCTGCACGCAAATTGAGGGAAAGGTCAAAATTGTTTCACAAGCCACCTCTGCCATCACCTTCTAGAGGTGGCAGTGCCAGTCCAAGCGTGCGGACACTCTCCCCTGCTGCTCAGAAGTTTGTAAGGAATGCAATTGGCAAGTCCTCATCTTCTATTGATGAAACTCTTCGTGCCAGTTACCGAGGTTCAAGTCCTGGGTTTACTACTCCTAAGGGTGGTAGGAGTGTATCAAGGCTTGGAAGCCATGCTAGCATCATATCAAGATCACCTTCTGCTGCAAGGGAGGGAACTAATCCTCCTTGGTAATTTGGAGTTTTCTTTTTCTTGATATTCCATTGTATGATCAATGCTTGTTTGGCACTGGTTAAGTCTTCTGTTTTCAACTATGTATGTAAAATTCAGACCTTTATCTTTATGCTGATAAGTGGAAGATTATTACGATAATGATGCCAATGTTCAAGATTTCCATGCTTGTTTAACAATGTTAGTTTTCGTGCTGTTATATATTTTACTACTTGTTTCATTGGTGGTCTTTTTATGAAATGCAATAAGTTTAGGATGCATTTCTTGGATGAATCTGGAAGCCCCAAGCCCCTTCGATTGTAGCATGGCAATTTCACTTTGCATTAAGATAAAGAGAGTGTGCACCACTTGCCCTTAATTTTAATATTGTAGTTGTATCAAATAATCTGGCACTGAATCTTTTTGGTTCGAACTTCTGTCAGATTTCAGTTTTTAGATTGAGATATGTTTTATCAGTTTCCTAATGGTTCCTCTTTGACAAATTTTTTAATCTCCGTTACATGTGTAACTGTAGAGGTGATGGAAAATATAATACGGAGAACATATTAAAGCTACTTGTTGCGTGGCAAAATTCTAAAACATAGCTGCTGTTGTTACGAAGGTTATGATTTGGTAGTGGATGTAGCTTCAGTATTGTGTTAGACCTTTATATAGTATAGTAGCATTGTTGGATGGATTCTTCTGTTGATGTGGATTGTATGATCATTTATCATTCAACATTTTGCTGCTTCATAGAGAAAGATGTCCCCATGGGCTTTTGTATATCCTGCTGCATTTTCTGTTTCTGTTTTCGGTTTGCAAAGTAAAGCAGAGTATATCATGCTGTTGAGTTACGAGCTTTCTCGGCTCAGTCTGTACAGATAGATTCATGGGGTTCGGTCAATGGGGAAAGCATACCACTCAATGTCATTGGAATGAACCTGTAAATCTTTTCTGCCTAGATCTACCTCAACATTTGAACTTCTACAAATCGGTCATTACAGCTGAGATAGATTTGCTTGCATGAACTGGAACTGAGTTCGCATCTGGTATCCGTGCCTCCGAATCTGTTAAAGGTCAGTCAGGTACGAATTCACATGTTTTCTCACGAGCTGTGATGCATTCTGATTTTGTACCTCATGGGAAATGTGATTTCTGGTTAAATTGTTTAGCTTTACGAGATGAACTTAGTTCCTTGTTCTGGGGGAAAAGCAAGGGGTTGAGAAATATTGGAAATGTGGGATTCAGGCACGGGTGCTGCGTGAACTTGAGCAGTAAGGGAGGAGACATCTTTGATTTGGTTTCGCGTCGCGTTCTTTCTTTCGAGGCTTTTTTGTTATACTTTCACGAGCTACATATGCCGAGTTGTTGAATTCTGTTGAATGAAAAAGAAACTCAGCTTATTTTGTGCAACTCTAAAACTCGAATTTAATCTCATTTTGTCTCTTAAATTCAAATTTTGCCACGCCAAACAAATTAGTGGTCCCCACCATGGTCACATCCACAAGTTCACACCAATTTAGACAAAATCTAGCCAAAGTGGAACAAATATCGCTGTTCCAAAGTCTTAAGTGAGGAAATTTGAGTTTTGGAAGACAAAGCAAAATTAAGTAGGAGTAGTGATGAATTTTGGGCTTTGAGAGACAAAGCGAAATTAAGAATGAGTTCTAGAGAGCATTGCACAAAAAGTAAGCCAAGAAATTATTGTTGTAACTAAAATATGTGTTAGAAAGGATAATCTCACCTTTTAGAACTAAACTAGTCTCTCTGCACGCATGCAAAAGGTATTTTAAGTCACTTCGTACTACGGTCTAGTGATATTTCTCTTTCACTTATAAGTGAATGGTATTAGTACTACGGTCTAGTGGTATTCCTCTTTCACTTATAAGTATGTGATCTTAGGCTCGATTCTCGTTAAAGGCGAACTTGAACTACATGATTATGTCTAGTCCATTGTGAGACTTAGCCAACTCCTTTAGTGTAAATACAATGTTTGTTCAAAGAAAAAGAAAACATTGTCATCTAATTGATCTCATAGTCATCTCTTTTCTATTATATTCTTAATTTTTCAAATTCATGACTCCCTAACTTCAACTAAAGTAGCTTTACTACATTGACAAAAAGTAATTATACTTATACATTATGTTGTATGTTCGATCCTACTGATTATTTTCTTAACAACTAATTATTTAACTCACTAACTATATCGTTTCCTTATTTAGGTGAACTAAAAAAAGGGGCAGCTTCACACGTGTTTCCAAAATAAGATTATGCCAAAGAATAAAAAGTGATGGAGTCTCTGACGGCGTCAACTCTTTCTATTCGCGATGAGAAAGGGTTAAGAAATCAAAGTTTGCGTCGTTAGTCCATCCCGATCGACGTCGTTTGGCAGCCAGTGCTCCCCGCTTCCGGGCGGTTTTAAATACCACCTCCCCTTTGAACACTCACCATTTCCGTTCTCCCTCTCTTTATTCGCTTCCACGAGCTTCACTGCGTTTGCCAAAGAATCTCAAGGTACTCTCCCTCTCTCTCTCTCTCTCTCTCTCTCTCTCTCTCTCTCTCTCTCTCTCTCTAGAATTGCATGCTATAAGAAATTGAGTCCTGTAATCCTAGCTCGAGTCAACTTAATTAGCAGTAGTCTTGATTAATCTTGATGTAATTAGGAGTCTTTTACGATCGTTCTTGCTATTATTGGCTTCAAATTCATATAATTAAGCACGATTAGCGCTTCAATTTGCAGTCTTTCTTCACGTAATTTGCTCCGATTCACTTTCGACAACTTCAACTTTCTGTATACTTCTCAGAAAACTTGTTTCTTTTAGGTAAGGCTTACTTTTGTAGGAACAGTCGGACTTCCGATTTTGTTTTTGGTTTTGTTGTTTGCTTGAATTGTGTTTCTTTGCGTTCTGCGTGCATGATTGTGTGATGAGATAATTTACGCGATTGAAACCGAGTTATATAGTTAAAAACTTACAAAGAATCAAGATTTGTAGCCGGAAAAAAAAAATGTATGAATCGACCTTGGAGCTAACTTTTCTTACCTTACAATTTTGATTCACTGAATTTTCTGATTTTTTAGCTCTTTTCCTTTTGGTTAGTTATCAGATTGCCTGTTGATGATTTTGTAGTATCGCCATACGATTGTGTCTACATGTTTAGAGAGTGGTGGTAAAAGAAAATCCCTTTTTCTAGTTTTGTTACAACTTACAATCAGAAATTAATATTCTCTGCGGATCACATCCCGCCGTTTGCATTTCTTCATTCAGATCTGTACTTCTTTTAGTTTTAAGTTAGTTATTAATTGCTGGTAAAAATAGAGTAAATCAATACTATTGCATCGGAGAAGTAGGGTAGCGTTCTGGTTAAGGCTCATTAGGGTGAGTCGTCTCATGATTTGAAGTCCCTTGTGAAGGGCGCAGTTGTTTCTAGCTTGAACTGGTTTTATTCCTCATCAGATGCCAGTCGAGAGTTCGAATGCATCTGATCGGGATGCTGAACCATTTGTGGAGGTTGATCCAACTGGACGGTATGGGCGGTATGCTGACCTCCTTGGTCATGGTGCTGTGAAAAAGGTTTATAGGGCTTTTGATCAGGAGGAAGGTACAGAGGTGGCCTGGAATCAGGTCCGGTTGTACAATTACAGTGACGACCCAACACTCATAAATCGGCTTTACTCTGAGGTTAAGCTGTTGAGGCAATTGAAGAACAAGTATATCATTGTTTGTCACAGCGTTTGGAAGGACGAGGCACATAGCACTTTGAATTTTATCACCGAGGTGTGCAATTCTGGAAACCTGAGGGAGTACAGGGAGAAGCATCGCCGTGTGTCACTTAAGGCTCTGAAGAAGTGGTCGAGACAGGTGCTTGAGGGATTGGAATACCTCCATACGCACGAGCCGTGCATCATTCACAGAGATCTCAATTGCAGCAACATCTTCATCAACGGGAATACTGGCCAGGTAATTATAACTCATCAGTTGTATCAACTTGTTTCTCCTGATTGTTTTTTAGCATAGATTTGGTTGCTTGTAGGCAGCCTATTTTCATCAGTATGAAATTGCTCTTCAATCCAAAATCAGAGTTGGTTTGTATTGTTAGCAATAGAACGTAATTTCTTCTCAAAATCTTTATCTGTGACAGTATTCTGAATCCCTAAGTCATACAGCCTTTTTCTCATGAGCATTTCATAAGAATATGACCCTTAACCATTACGCTTTTCATTCATAGGTGAAAATTGGTGATCTGGGGTTTGCAGCAATAGTGGGAAAGAACCATTTAGCACATTCGATTATAGGTACACCCGAGTATATGGCACCCGAGCTGTACGACGAGGATTACACAGAAATGGTGGATATATACTCGTTCGGGATGTGCTTGCTGGAGATGGTGACAATGGAGATACCATACAGCGAGTGTGACTCTGTTGCCAAGATATACAGGAAGGTGACAACGGGTGTCAAGCCTTTAGCCTTGAACAAGGTGACTGATCCGGAGGTGAAGGCGTTCATTGAGAAAGCCATAGCCCAGCCGAGGGCAAGACCTACAGCCTCTGATCTTCTCAAGGATCCCTTCTTGTCCGAAGTCAGTCAGTAAGAGCCTGACCCGAGCTTGTGATGGCTTTTCGACACTTGTGATCTTTCAAGACCTCGTTTCATGATATTGGGGTTTCGTCTGGCTCTCATTTCTGAACCATCACAAGCGATTGACGGGGTTTCTGTTCAAGTATATGCCTCTCTCTCTCTCTCTCTCTCTCTCTCTCTCTCTTTTGTGTATTCTCTCGTAGTTCTTGACCTGTGCAGTACTATTACATGGTCCATAGTGAACTTGTTTTAAGAGTCTTCGAAGATATTATGGGAAAGTTAGTGATGTGGTGACGGTTCAATTGATCGCATAGTGAACCTCATTTATTAAGAATGAATAAGCAACTGCTATATAATGTGTTACATCAGTTGGGAAAATAGTCGGTGCTCTTTATAATATTATTTAATAAGTGTTTTATTTTATATATATATATATAATGTGTATATCTCTACTAATTAATGAAATTTTTTTTATCAATTAAAAGATGATGAAAAGATAAATTAGTCTTTTATCACAAAAAAAAATGATGGGCAATAATGTAATTTCACATGTTCAATTTTACTGTTTTTTATTGAAACCTCATTTACAGGTGATGTTAAAATACCTTCAATATTAAAAAAAATTAAAAACCTCCCACTCTCCTCACATGTATTTATACACACAACGTGTGTAGGCAAATGCTAGTATTATATAATGCAAGTGTAAATTAATTAGTAGCATGGACAATTGGACATGAAAGGAAAACGGGGTTTTGGGATTGGGAGTTGTTGGGAGAAAGTAAAAGCACAACCGCTACATCCCAAGGACCAAAGAAATATTGAGAAACCGTGCCGTTTTGGGTATTTGCTAAATACTACGCATTCATATGTAAACAAAGCTTAAAGCTGTATCCGCACTCCATCATCTTTCCTCCCCTTTATCTATATTTTCATTCATTTCCTCAAAACTATAGTTTTACTAGTTTATTTACATATATACCTCATTCTTCCTTTTCTTCTCCCCAACACGTCATTTGCAAAATCTCCATCACCATCTCATCTCATCCCAAAATCCACATCAATAATACCCTCAATTGTTGGGGATGATTTTTTCTTCTTTTATCAACAATTATCAATTATCGTACGTGAAATTTGAACGAAAAATTTCTTTTAACATAATAAAGATCAGTGTCACTGTATGAAATGGCCACAAAAATTCGACGTCATATTATCAAAGAGGCTTTTAACATAACAAAGACCAGTGCCTCTGAATAAAACGGTCAAAGAAATTCGACATTAGTAATTATCACATAACTAGGCTTTTCAAGAACTTTAGTAAAGCTGCTTGATTAGGCCAACTCTCACACTAGATGAGACTAACTAAAAAGTTGGATGAGATTAAAATATAAAGATCAGTGCCCTATGTGTTCAAATACCTCAACCCAAACTTGTGATGCAAGCAACTAACATGGAAAGGAGCACCAAGAATTCAACTACTCACCACTCGAGAACGTTTTTGAAGCCTCAAAATTTGGACATTCAGAGTGTTTCACTCGTGTGCATTTGACTTTGACTGCACAAAAACAACTGCACGAATGTGTGCGTGGACACATTTTCTAATGGGACACTTTGGATGCGGTCCCTAGCTATCAATATTCTTTGATTGAAACCTTGTTAGTTTTTAGTTTTTGATTGAGGTCCCTAACATTAATGTAATAATGTAAGTTACTATATTTTTTAAATTAAAAATTGAAATTTGTAATTGTTTGTATTAATGAGATTTTAAATAAAACACATAATTTATGGGATTAAAAATAATAAAATATAAATTATACTCTCTATTATATTTTGTGTGTGTTTATATATATATATATATATATATGTATGGGTACATTAACCAAAATTAACAAAAAAAGTTATTGTACCAAAACATGGATACATTCTCAAATCAACGAAAAAGAATGTACCCATATAAGTTTAATCATGGATTAAAAAATTTGAATGGATTTTATATTAAAAAAAAGGTACATTTTACATATAACAAATTGATATATTTGAGAATGGGTACATTTAAGATTAATAAAATTGAAAAATTATATGAATGGGTACATTTAAGATTAAAAATTAAGAATCTTTTTATATATAAAAAAAACTAATAGGTACAAACTTAATTTAATTTAATTTTTTATTATTTTGGAAATGTTTGAATTGAAAATTAATTAGAAGCTTAATAGAGGTGTGACTATTAAACCCTAAATTAATTACTAATTTTTTTATTAAAAAATTATATAATAAACATGTAAATTCATTATCACATTAATGCTAGGGACTTGAATCAAAATTTGATAACTAATAAGGTCTTAGTTAATAAACAGTAAGAACTAGGGAGCGGATACTAATTTTTCCTTTTCTAATTGACATATTAATCGATTAATTAACTAAAACCATCTCTTTAATTTCAATCCTTCTTCCACTTAATTCCACTGGTTTTGCCATTTCTACAAGTTATTATCTATAATTTTCTTATATCAGTGAGACGAATTCCAAGCATTTTATGGCAATTGGGAAGCCAAAATATGCATTACATTTATAAAACAAATGCTTACGCTTAAGAGTTTCACTTTCATTGCCTTCTCAAAGTTTCACTTTCACTAAATCTCTAGTCTCTCAGAGCTTGGTTTCGAGCTCTTCCAATGGAAGTTGCAAGCCCTTTGAAAGACAGCTCCGTGTCGTCGAGTCCTTCTCTTCTCCGAACGTCTCTGCCTTGCTCAAGTTCAAGATTTTATCATGGTAAGATTGTTGGAAAATGTTAGCAACTTTGCAGCATTGGATTTGAGCAGTTTCTGTCAATTTTTTTTTTTTTGTGTGATGAATCTTGTCTCAGAACTCAAGAGACCGGTTTGCCTGTTGCGGTTAGTGTTCGAGTTGGCGGAAAGATCTTCAACCTCCACAAGGTAAGAAATTGAAATTAGAATTATACGAATTAATGTGGTTATTGGCTCGAATTTGAGCTACTGAGCTAAGTTAAAATCTTTTGTTAGGTGTTCTTGATTGTTTACTTTTGTGTTCTTGATCGCGTTTATACCATTTTTGTCAAAAATTGGCCTAATCTTTTCAGTTCCCACTTTTTTCAAAGAGTGGATACTTAACAAAAGATTGAACGAATCAAATGAGATTGATCTGCCACCGGGCTTTCCCGGAGGGCCAGAGACCTTTGAGATGATTGCACTCTTCATCTATGGCTCCTCCACATTGATTGATCCATTCAATGTGGTAGCCCTCAGATGTGCAGCAGAGTTTCTTGAGATGACGGAAGACTACTCCGGGAACCTCTGTGAGCGCTTCGATCTCTACTTAAACCAAGTGGTGATGCAGAGCTGGGATGACACCCTAATAGTGCTTCAAAAGTGCCAAACTTTGCTTCCATGGTCTGAAGACCTGCTCATTGTGAGCCGGTGCATAGAGTGCCTCGCCTTCATGGCCTGCATGGAGATCCTTGACCACGAAAGAAGGCATGAAACACCTGAGCTCACATTGGAAGCATTGGGCACGGGAAATTGGAGCTGCAAAACGGGGAGGGAAATTATGAATCAAGACCTTTGGATCAAGGATCTCATTGCGCTGCCATTCGGATTTTAAAGAGGATTATAGGATCTTTGAGAAGGCAAGGCATGAAGGAAAAGTACTTGAGCCCCATCATTGTTTTCTATGCTAACAAGTGGGCGCTTTCGACAAAAAAACCTTCAATTCTGGGAGAATTCTGGTCAGAGAATTGGATATGATCACAAAGTTTCAGTCATTTTACAAGGTGTCCTTGATTTGCTGCCGATGGGGGACAAGGCTAGTTGATCAATCCCAGTCGGGTTTTGCTTAGCAATTCTCTCTAGATCGCTCGAAGTAGGTTTGAGAATCAATACTAGGGTGAAGCTGCAAGGGCAGATTGTATCTCTGCTGCACTTCGCTCAGCTTGGAGACTTCTTGTTTCCAAAAAGTGGAAGTGAGTCGATTTCTTCCAGCATGGAGCTTGCAACAATGGAGAGCATAATTTCAGCGTATGTATCGTCTAACATGGAGTCGGACAACAGTCTTTTAGCTGGAAACACACAATTGTTGCATAGTTATGGTATTCAACATGTAATAATCGGAAAACACAAGGACGCTGACAAATTGATCCAATGAGAGAGAGATGAAATTTGCAACAAACAGACAGCACAACAAGCGAAGAAAAAAATTGATAAGTAAAAGTACAACTGCAGAAGGAGTACTTTAAAGCAAACTTCGGTCTATTAACATAACGAGAAGAGATACATCCAACTGCATTCCAACGAAACCATGTCAGGGTTCAAACTCCCCATGCTTAGACTACAACAGCAGGCAACGCGCTGATTGCTCAATTCAAATACACAGCAAACAAAAGACATACTGGCTGTGAAAGATCTACTATTGTCACTAAACAACTGGAGTTGCTTTAGAAAATGTGTCACTGACACTCTTAAATTTATGGGACTCCACTACACTTCTTGCTGTTTTAATGAGAACTTGTCCGTTGACATAATGTTGGCGACACACAGGCATGTATACATCAGCACCACCAATCAGTTCCGTCCTAGTCTCCTCCGTCTTCCTCAGGGTAAAGAAAGCTCGTTTGCCACACATTTCACATCGCGCCGTCAACTTGGTCACAGAATCAGCAAGAGGTATTACGTCAAGAACCGAGCCAAAGCTCCTCCTGCCAATTATAACCATACACACATCAATAAGAAATCAATGAAGACCAACCACAGAAACTAGCAACACAATCATAACAGAAAATGGATTTCATTTGAGAAGCACCTCAAGTAATCGCCATCCAAGCCTGCAACAACCACAGTTTTCCCATCATGATCAGCAGCCATGCAGCAGAAATCATATAGATCTTCAAAAAACTGAGCCTCGTCGATTCCAATGACATCAAGCTGTCAATACAACCCAGTTTGGAGAAGGGCAATTAGAATATACCATATGCTTTCAAATTACAAACACTAAACAAGACCTATGCGGCATAGGCTATGCCAAACATCAAACAATTGCAACCATCAAAACCAAAAATCGCCTTTTCGCATCACGGGTGCATAACTAGTACAATGGCACCTCCTCATGGCAGACCATCAAATTGTTTTACCACGCCATAACATGTTTTACAGAAATCAAAGGTCCAAGATTCAATAGTAAAACATACTAAAGTCAAATAATTAATTAATAAAAAATAAAAAATAAAAAATAAAGAGAAAATTTGACAAAAACCCAACAACGATTTAAACACTTCCCCAGCTTCAAAATTACCTTGTCATAAGCATCTCCTCCAAAATTCTTCCGAAACGATGACAGATCAGGCAGCGCCCAGCACGGAAACTTCATCCCATCGTGCGTCACAACCGAATCAATGGCGTATCTTGTATCCTTACTCGA